CTGGAAAAATCTCTTATTTCAGTAAAATACCAGGAAAGTAGCTTCTTTAAACATTCAGGGGAAAACTGAACATTCTCAAATAGTGACATAACCGATTCAAAGGAGAAGGAAAGGCTGAAAAGCCTCATCCCCTGCTCCTCCTCTAACAAATTGGATGCAATTACTAATAAACCCCCAAAACATGCTACTGGAACTGGGATGCAGGGAAGGACAAAAAAACTATAAACCATATATATCTGGAACAAACTCCAGTTCCTTTCTAAACTCCCTATAAATCATTATCACCATGCCAAGAAAATAGCTATTTTCATCCGTGTCTCTCAACTGTAAGAATTATGTGTTAGGGACAATACTGGAGCTATCTCTAGATAAGAAAATAATCCTAGGGGCCAGAAAAGTATTAAAACCTCAAAAAAGCCTGGGGACCAAAGACACATGAAGGCCTCCACCCAGAGAGATATTATCAATCAAACAATAGTGCTACTGACTGCTTTATTCCAATACAGAATAAGTGCAACCAAAATACAATCAGTAGAGGGTTTTTCCACTTTCTCAAGCCCCATGTTGGGCGCCAAAAAATATATTTGTCCTGGTTTAGGGCAAATTTGGGAGGAAGCTCCAAAAGGGTACCTCCAGAAAGCAGACTCAAGCCCTTGCCATTACTGGTTCAGGAAGAGATTTCCTCGGAGAAAAGTGGAAAAAACTGTTTATTTAACAGGCAAAGTATTCACAAGCATAAACAATGAATAATATTAAGCAATAAAACCTCTCATTTTGAAGAGATGGTGCTGGAAAATGCCACATCCCAGCCCCTGTGGGCCACAGGTGTGAGCTCCCAGTGTTCTTCCGGGTTTTCAGTCCAGCGTAGGGTTAAACAGTGCCAAGAAAAAGAAAAGCCATTACTGATGATGAAGAAAGAGAGACAGGAACTCTGTGTGATGGTCAAAGAATCCAAATTTGTTGTGGAATACAAAGCCTTATAAAATATTTTGGGAAGGCTAGTAATGTTTGACTCCCAGGATTAGGTTAATCATAACATAAACAAACTTAGACATTTTACAACATCTCTTGCTTGCAGAAGTCTGATGTAATTTTCTTTTTTCTGTAAGTCAGTCTGAATCTTCTTGCAATGTTGTTTTAATCCTCAGAGTTCTGTTTGCTATTGCCAAGGCATCCTGTTATCAGATCTCTTATGCTAACCAGGTCCAAAGTCCATCATCTATCTTGTGTCTCAATATCCCAATAAGCCACAATCCAGGGAATTTCACTGCCACAGCTAGCTCAAAAAATAAAAAAAAAAAAACTAAAAAGTAAAGGAGAGCTCTCTCCTGCTGTCTGTCCATGCTGCAGACAGCACAGTCCAGGAGAAGGAATACAGGGGAGCAAGTGCAGTTTCTGAAAATAAATTGTGCACTTCTTGTCTGCCCCTTCGCTCTTGGAGCCAGTTTTAAAGGTGCAGAACTTAATATCCAGCATAAATAGAACAGATGACTGGGGATACAAGAATCATAAAGTCACCCCAGGACAGTATCCAGATGTAATTCTGAGGTACTGAGGCTGTGACCCAGTCCAGTGGAGCACTTCTTTGTTCCTTGGACAAGCTCCTTAGCTTGATCCACTCTGCACCTATGGATCAGAAATCACCTTCCAGGGATGGGAGCAATACTGCATGGGGAGACAGCTTGAACTGGCACTTCTCTGATGTGCTTGTGCATTCACAGCCTTCAAATGGTTTCTAGAATTTCCTTGGTCTGTTTTCTGGACAAGGTAGCTTTGCAAATCAGAAAGTAAGTTTACTCTTATTTTTTATGTAGCATGATTTTTCACCTGGACTAGGATAAACTTGTGCCACTGCTATTTTGGAAGGTGTTGAATTGGTGCAGAACAACTGCATCAGACAGTGGATAGAGATATGGGAGAAAGTGGAAAAGTGTAGTTATCTTCCATTTAATCCTTAATATTGTAATTGTTAAGGTGTCATTTTACAAAGTCCAAAAGGTATAATTAAAATCACTGTCAGCATCCGAACCCAAAAGGAATTCCTAAAATGAGCTTGAGAACTCTTACATATCAAAAGTCATGGCTCACTAAAGATTTATTTATGTCACAATCTCCCTTTTACCTCTGATATTCCACAAGCAATGCCTCTTTTCCTCTGAAGGATAACTCCATCAGCCTCTATCTCCCCGTCCCCATCAGCCCTCTCTCAGGTTGCTGAAGCCATCAACATATTACAATAATTGTTCCTTTATATTTACTCTCAAAATTGGCTCCCTTTTTAGACCCAGTGAAGGACCTCTTTGCACAGGTACCAGTGTTCAGCATCTTCATTATTGGCATGCTGCAAGCTGACTGTGTGTCATGGTTTGACACTGGTGCGATGCCAGCGCCCCCATGAAAATGCACCTTCCCAAATAAATGCTGTGAGATGTGATCCAGAACAGAGCAGAGCAGGCCCAAGCTTAATAACAAAGGGAAAAAAAAAATCTTTATTGAACTACTACTATGATAAAAGGAAAAAGAAATAAAAAAAACCCCATACACTAAATCCAAAATGAAAACCTTCCAAAACATTCCTCCTCCTCCCACCCAACTCTTAACAAACCACAGTGAGACACAACTTGGACCCTTAATAAAGTTGTCACCCTTCAATATAATCAATACTCAGTCCATCAAGGGAGAGAGGAGTCTCCTTTGCACCACAGAGCCCCAGGAAACACAATTGCCACTTTTTGTGTTTCCATGTCACACATGGCACCGCCCGGAGAAAATCTGCCAGTGTGACACTCTCCTCTCCATGTCACAGTGCTCTCACCACTGTGCATGGATGGAGACTGCTTATAGGGCTCCTTTAAGGATGCTTTGCCAAGGACCAAAAGGAACAACAGTCCAGTGTCTCATTTTGGGACCGCAGTCTCCCCCATTTTCCTTCTCCCCTGGGGCTTAGGGTGAAAACAGAGATCTTCATCTTCCTGAAGGCAGAGGGCATCATCACACCCTCCTCAGCTTTTCTCTGTTCACTCCATTCTTGTACTGGTAGTTGCTGAAGGAGGTCTCTTGGCTCACCACACATCCTCCTAAAATGCAGTCTCTCTTGAAGGAGAAATTGGTTCAGTCTATGGCTAACAAGAAAAGTCCAGCCAAAAGCCACTCCATCATCCCCCCAACCTTCTTTTCCTAACATTTCAGGTCCCAGACTGTCTCTCCTTCAAATCGAGGAGGAGTAATATTTCACAAAGCCTTCATTCCCCAGGAAGGGGTTAAAAGTCCTGGACTCCCCGGACAGCTGAAATCTTGGCCCAGACTCCATCTCCCACACTGGGCACCTTCCCGCCCCCTTCTCCTTCTCTGCTGGCAAACTTCCAGGTGTCTTCAGGCTCTCCATTTCTTCCCCTCTAGGCTGGGGGAAGGGGGTGGACAAAGACATCTCAGCCTTCCTCCACCCTTCCTTCCTTCTGCAGGCGCTGGCTGGGTTCCAGTCCTTCACCCCTGGCCTACCTGTGCAGATCGCGTGGCTTCTCCTCACCCACCCAGCCTGTGGCTGGGCAGGGGAGGTCTGCACTCTCCATGAACCAAAGAGAGAGCTCTCCTGGGAGTTCTTGCTTTTTAACCCCGTGTTCTCAGAGGCGTATCCAGCCTTCAGTGTTCACTCCAGCAGCCAATATCCAAACATGACACTCATTGGTTTGACTACCAACTTCCTGAGAAAATTTTCTTCTGTGTCAAACCATGACACTGTCACTCCCTGCCACTTCATCCATAATGCACTTAATCCAAAATGTAGTTTGCTGGCCTGTGCCTGAGAGCCTGAAGGCTGCTAGATGTGTTTTGAGTTTGCAATATTTATCATTTGGGCTTCTGAGGTTTTTTCCCCTCCCATCCAATTTGTCTGAAGTGCTGTAAGCCCTACAAACAGCACAGTGCCTGTTTTCCCCGAAAGTCAGCATATTATCACACGCAATGTGCTACCCTGACTTATGTATAGTACATACATATATGTATATACATATATGCATGTGTAATAGGATACATGTCACCTTTGAAAACTTGAGCCACATTGTGTGGCCAGGTTTTAGGGGAGCACCAAGCTATCTCATCAATCTCTGAAATGTTTTGTTTACCTGATACGTCTTGTCTCTTGAGGTGATTTTTCTTGACTTGCATGTGGAGTTGTTACAGCTAAATTATCTACCAGCTCTCCCTTCCTCCAGGCATGTCAGGTTATTGCTCTAGATATGTGTGAACATAAGAAGTTGCAACATGCCAGTAGAAAAATGTGCTCTTAGAAGCTGCTTAAACTTCATTCTCATATACAGTCTTGTATAAACAATTCTACCAACAGAAGCATAAGCAAGTCTTGATTATTACTTTTTTTAAATAAGTTGAAAATCTTCTGAATGCCCTACAGAAAGATGGGATGCTGAAATTTAGTTATTAATTTTAGTACCTTAGTTGAGACTACTTAGTTTTGAGTTAATTTTACAACTGAAGAATATGCAAATAAGAACGTCACATTCTGGTTATTGATACTGTAGTCTTTGAGGCTGTGATTTTGAAACAGGGTGGTGATTGTTTTGAGCTAGGCTATCGTAGTTATAAGGGAAAGCTGTTATGATCTGTGTCATAATTACAATTTGCCATTTGTTTGTTAATACTAGTGTTTGTTGTTGTGTTTATCTAGACATCCTAAGAAAGAAAAATCAATGTAAATTCAGGTAATCAGTTAAAATGCATTTTCCTGGGCACGGATTGTTTGTGGTCAGATCATGATGCAAGATTTTATCTTATGTTTAGCTACAGCTTTGGATGAAACAGCAGGAAGTGTGAAAGAAGAGCAAGCACTTTCTCCAGTTAATTTACCTATTTTTTGGTTGCTTGTATGTAGTGGGCTGTGTTCTGTGGGATTTTGAATTTATTTTTTTCTTGCTTGCATAAGAGAGGCTTTCATTTTTTTGCACTGTTGTATGTATCTGAAAAGGTTTTTTCCTTTCATTTTACAGGAGGAAAATGGCTCAGCTTCTTGCACCAGCAACATCCATCCATGATGAGGAAGCCTTGGAAAGCAGAATGTTGGTTACATTCCTCATGTCAGGACTTGAGTCAATGGTTAGTAGAGAAGTTAAGTTTCTGCATCATAAATCTGTCTTGGTATTTGCAGGATTACATCAGTATATTGCTTCCCACTGGGCAGCAGGGAGGGTGGATTGTTGTATTTGTTCCATAATGTGTGTTGTCCAAGCAGCTGTAATTCTATCTTCGCTTGTGATAAATCATGCTGTCAGTAATCTTGTTTCTTGTTGTGGTGTTGTTTGTTTTAAAAAATTATTTTGTCAAATAAATGGGAAATATTTGTTGATTGCTCAGGTACAGTGTGGTTGAAAGGCCAAAGTGTGTTCTGGTCTTTGTCATATGTAATGCAGAGTGAATAAATGGCTTTGAGGCTAATGCCTTGTCTTCAGCTGCTGCACCAACTCAACAAAACTTGTTCAGAAAATATTGTTGACATATATGTTGACATATCATCTGTTTTTTAGAAATTATTAAATTGTTTCGTGATGTTTATGGTTGGTTGGGGCTGTAAATGGAAATACCTGTCCCATTTCCTTGAAATTGAGGCACTGTCCAAGATTTGTTTCTTTAAAATTTGAGTATTTAAATGATAAGCAAGAAAAAACATTTTCCTTTTAGCAATGACTTGCTAAAAGTGGAATAGTTATAAGACAATATATTGCAAGACTTTTATCCCATTGGTTCTTAAAGTCTTTGTGTCAGTTTTTCCTCCCATGCTGCAACTGTGTTTTTTTATAGGTTAGAGCAAACTCTGATTTAGTTCCTAGGAGAGACTGACATTCTGTGATCACTACTTGGTCCTCTCACAAATTTTCTTGGGATCCTTGTTCTCTCCCTAGGCTTCCTGCCTTAATTCTTGCCAGAAATTCATCCCGGCAGAACATATGTAGGTGTTTGCAGGGATGGTGCAATCCTTGCATTCATGGGGCATTCAGCTGAGGCTGGGCCCAGCAGACAGGACAGGGCAGACTACAGGGAGCCATCCTGCTTGCAGCCACACCTTTCTGAACAGAAGATGGTGTGTGAGAAGTGTGCTGTGAATATGTGAAACTTCTGTGTGCTCTGTTGAAAGTTGGAGTAAGACACTCAGTATGATTGCCATGGAAGTGGTAATTTAACATGAATTAATGTAATAAATAATTTTAATTAAAAACAATACAATCTCTGAGTCTATACAAGGCCTTAATTTTGCTAATGAATCTACAGTGCTTTTAAGATTTCTGATGAAAAGCATTCCAGATGTGTAAATTGTGCTTTGCTACTGGGTGATGTTATGTTGCTCATAGTACCTTCTGACAAGTGGATGCTGGCAGTAGTATAATGATTGTTTTACATAATATCATATACATTTTTATTAACTGTATTTTAACTATGGTAATAAAAGTTCTTCTTTTTCTTTCTATAGTGTAAAGAACTTTCCAAGTCCAAGGCAGAAATTGCCTGTATTGGTGTATATGCAAGAAATGTTTTTGTTATTGGAACTGAGAGAGGAAAAGCCTTTGTCAACTCTAGGGAAGATTTTAAGACGGATTTTATCGAATACTGTAAGTTTCAGTGTTTTATTTTTGTATGTCACAAGCTGCATAGTGTATATTGCATAATATTAATAATTTTGGGAGCAAAATTCTTGTCTGTCATGGCTGTGTGCTATAATTATGATGACTAATGCAAATCAAACTGTAAAATGAGCAGTAACAGTGGTCTTATTTGTAGTGTTATTTCTACAATGGCTGAAAATGTTCATTTTTTCTTAGATAATGTGAAAACTAGTACAATAAGAAGTATTAGACAGTCCACCCTTCTAATACATCCTGCATTTTCTAGTGTGTTAATTTTTTTTTGTATCCCCTCCTCCAAACCTTTTTTTCCACTCAGGAAGACTGAGGAGAGCACTGAACAGGTAGAAAAGTACTTCTGTCGCAGTTTTGACAAGATAGTATTTTTTCACGTAGCTATTTTATATCACTTTTATTTTGTAGACAGAAATACACATCTGTATCATAATGACTTAAAATTGCATCTGCATTACTTTTGTACTGCTTTAAGTACACGTCTAGGTTGTGTTTTTTGTTCCGTTTCATTTTTACAGTAAAACAGTGGAACATTTGTGTTGATAAAACTCGATTCATTCATACAGGACAGTATTTTTAGGGATATGTTTCAAAGATTCAGTGAGGATTTCGGGGAGCATTGATGCTCTCATTTAGGAAAGTGGTGGTGGTGGACGCTGCCTAATAACAAAATTATTTGCCTAGAGAAAGAGAGAAGATGGAGATCAAAGGTAGGGTATGACAGAAGAATCAGTCTGAGGAGGAATTTAAAAAACTGTTAAGTTGTCGAGTTAAATACTGCTTGGAAAGCAACTGTGTTTAGTCTGTAACAGAAAGACTTACTCCTAAAAATGCTTTTGCTGCTACATAAAATTGTCTAGGAGGCTCTGTCTCAAGGTGTTGTTTGTGGTAGGTGTCTTGGTTTGAAAAAGACAGGTATCTGCTAAGGAAGGCAAGAGCCTCCCTTAAAATGGAAGTGTAACCCCCCTCCCTCTGAATTATTGTAATTTTGAAATTAAGGGGTTCTCAAGCAAAGATGTGGGAATAGGAATAACAGTTATTTACTAGGAAAATTAAAATACAAATGCAATATTACAAAGAAACACCCAAAAAACCCCAAACCAACACCAAAAGTGAGAATAGGAGCTGACCCCCTGTGTGTCAGGGAGGTGACACAGCCCCATCCCAGGGTGGCTCAGCCCTCCTGCAGTGCCAGCTGTGCTTCTGCTGGAGCAGGATCTGCACAAGGGGGGAGTTTTCCTCTGGAGCTCCAGGGCTGGGGGAGATGGGCCTGGGCTCCTCTGGGAATGCAGGGGGAAGGAAGCTGCTCCTCTGGGAATGCAGGGGGAAGGAAGCTGCTCCTCTGGGAATGCAGGGGGCAGAGGCTGCTGTGCTATTCCCAGGTCAGATTGGATCCAGGTAGGAATGCTTGGCTCCTCCCCTGGGCAGAGCATCTCCCCATGGGATGATGGAATTTTCTCAGCCATGCAGGGACACTCAGTGGCCATGAACAGCAGAGATCTCCTGGAGGGAGGATTGGTTGTGGAACAGATAAAGAAAACTGCCCCACCTGGTTTTGACAGGTGGCCCAATTACAGAAGATAACTGCCCCACCTCTAAAAGATGGCAATAGAATACACATCTTGCAGCCTAAGACAGTAGGTCTCTGGATTTTTTTTGTCCTACTGACATGGACAGTGACTTCCTGTGCACATATTTACTCCAAGGAAAGTCACCACAATGTTGGGTTGTATCAGATCACTGATACCAAAATGTAGAATTGTAACCTGATTGAGGAATCAAGTATAAGATGAATCAATTTCTTTTTCTTATTCTTCTTCTTTTTTTTTCTTTTTTTTCATTTATTACAGGGACAATCTTTGTATACTGTTGTTTGTGAAAACTGCTATCTGAGTATTGGGGAAGAAGTTCATTTTTCACCTGATTGCTTTTTTGTTTTGTTTTTGTTGCTTAAAGGACTTACCTGACATCCTAGGTACTACGTTTTATTGCCAGTACAGTGGTATCATGGCCCCTGATATACCAGGGACTTTGTGTACTGGACACGTCTATTTGTAGGGAACCTGAAATTATGGGGATTTGCTGTTTGATCTCCTGGCTAGATCTCTGTTTCAGATCTGTACTGTGGGAAGCACTGGCTTCTCATCCATGCTTGTATTTGGCTGTATGATATATGGTTTCTATAGATGCATGCCTGTGTTTAAGTCCTACATCAGTTTTGATAATCCTCACCTTTTGCTTTATTCCAGTTACAAGATACTCATTCTTGGGCTGTGTTTTTGTATTGTCAAGCTGATAAGATGAAAGAATATTAACTTTAAAAACAGTGTTTCTTTCCATTATGATTCTTGCAAAACATTATGCTGTAGATCTGTGTGAATGAGGTCAACCAGTGTTGGTCATTGCTTTCATGGTTTCGCTAAGTGCACATCTCCCATGATTTCAGGGGAGTCTTGATGCTGGAAGTAGTTTTGTTTTGTCCCTGAGAATGATGTTGATAATTCCAGAAAAGATTACTTCAGAACAACAATTTTTAGGAATAGTAGCATTACATGTTCCTGGTGATGCTGATTCCATCACTGCCTTTGACAGCTTTGAAGTCTTGATGAAGTTTATAGTGTAATATCTTCTGCTCTAAAATGTAGAGCTGTAGAGGCAACAGTTCCTTTGCCCTCGTACATTGTTTATTCAGTTCAGTATGAAAACAAGCAATAGGCAGTGGTAGTTGAGATTTTAACAGGTGTTTTGTAAGAATCCAGGAAGGACATAGTTCTTTGTGTATTTAACAAGTGAGAGTTGAGTCCTTCTTGTTACTTTAGGACTGATAAAGGCTTCTAAGAGATTCTGACCTTGCTGTTAGAGTTAAACCTTTAAAAATTCATGTGTGATGTCAGTGTCTAGAATGCATGGTGCTGACAATATTGAGAATTACCTCTCCACTTTTGGGTATCTTCATATTTCTTCAAATATGGAAACAGAACTCTAGTTACTAAGCATACCTCTGGTTATGTCTGACTCTGTGCAAGCCAGCACATATCTTCAGTCTTTATTTCCACATTTTTCACAGCTGCTTTGTATAAGTTGAGTCGTGTATGAAGTGTTTCAGAACTTGTTTGGATCAGGCTTCAAACCTGCTGCTTTTTTTAAATTAATGAGTATAATTTAGTGGGCTAAATTGATGAAATGTATTTATGAGGTTTCAGAAGGAAGTAGCGTGTACACTTTTTAGCAGTACTGAACTGATGAATATAATAGTGGTTCAGTGATAGCAGCACTGGAGTTTGGTTTCCTGTGGCTTTCATTCATGATGACTTTGACCCACATGGGTTCCCCAACACCTTGCCCTCCTGCATGGCAAGGAGGAACCCTGTTCATAGCTCATTTACCTTCTTACCTTAAGAAAATACGTTAGGAATTAATAAGAAGAATGCTTTTTAAAATTTTAGCATGGTTGTGTAGTAAGTGTTGAAAAACCAGTCAACAGGCATTAATTATTTAAAACCGAATCAGATAATGTATTCTTCTGAGCGCTGCTTAATGAAGATAGCTGTGAGCCCTATGTCATGGTGAAATAGACTGTTTCAGTCAATGTAGAACTGCATGTTCTTGTATCCTGAGCATGTGACTTGGGTAACCTGCAGTGTCAGACATTTCAGGCCTGTGTAAATTTGTATTGTATATAGAAAGAGTATGTTCTTTGAGCACCTGCTCATATTGAGCATATGGACAAGTGTAGATACTTCTGCACTATAAGCAATCAAGATCATATACATCTTGCTCTACCAGTACCTCTTTGTTTTAGTTGCTGTCCCCTGCTAAAGTGTATTGTGTTGTCCTCAGTTCCTCTTACGTGGACTTGGCAAGATTAAGTGCCTCTGGATTGCTTTGGAGTTGTGGGTTGTCAGCTGTCCTGAACAGGGGACTTACTCCTGGGGTATCTGAAGAATGCCGTACTCTTCAGCGTTCGTCTTTGTCATCTTGAAGTTTCCCTTGGGCTCTGTGGAATTCATTCTCATTTGAATGTGAGCTGGAGATAGTTTATAAGACAGCCAAAGAAACCCCAAAACCCAGAGGAAGCCATATTTTTCCCAGGTTGTATTTGCTTGTCAGAAGGGAACTTTGAGAAGAGCTTCCTGACTCAAGCACCTTTTTGGTCACCTATTCTGGACTTTGAAAGGTATTTACCCAGCACCATGTGTACCATCCCATCTGCCAAGGAGACAGTTCTCCAAGAATCCCAGTTGCCTCTGCTAGCTTTTCTACTGGTATTGGCTGCTACACCATTGATATGTAGGTTGCAGGAAAACTTAATCCTGCTAGTTCTCAACTTCTGACAGCTCTCCCACTCATGCCGTTTTTTTCTTCAGTGATGCCAGGGCTTTGGGCTCACTTGCCTGAGATGAGGCCATCTTGCACCTGTAGGTAGTTCATCTTGGATAGGTCCTTTATTTTTGCAGCCTTCATTTTTCTTCTGATAGCCTTGGGTTTCCACACTGATCTTAACAATGCATCTGGTATGGGTCCAAGTTTGACTTCAAGTCCTGCTAGAGACTTTGGGCCAGGGTCTTCTACCCTTCTTACCTGTACCTCCCTGTCCACGCAGCCACAGGATGTGAGAACTTCTTGTAGTCACAGGAGTGCTCAGAATCTGAGTGTTCTTAATGTAAGAACACTTAGCCATTCCCTGAGTAGCCATTCCTGCTGCTCAGGAAGAATGAATGGAATGCAGGCTTTATGGGAAACATTGCTCAGCTTTGTCTCCTCAGTATGTTTTTTTTGGTATATGAATTACTGTTTCCTCTTGGATGTATTCCATCATCCGCAGACAAGTAAAATGTCTTTTCTTCCCATAAACTAGGATACTGTGGACCTGCTTGAAGATCTGCAGCTGGGCTTCTGTCTCACTGAATCCTTCTGAGTAACCTGTACAGCAAGGTTGCTTGCCTTGATTGCCTCAAACCTTTAATGTTCTGTCTCTGCCTAGTTAGCTAAGGGGTGTGAAATCAACAGCTGGTATAAAAACCTATGGGGAAAGTTCAGTCCCATTTCCCTGAAACTACACATCTTGTTCCCTCAGAGTTGACAACCAACAATGTTACTGTAGATAGTATTTTTGAAATTTCGCGCCTCCTAACTTCTGCTTCAGGTGATTTGCTTTTGTGTGGTTCAAGTGATCCTTTGATAATTATTAAATGACTTTTCTTTAATTTGAGGATATTTTCCAATTTCATGAACTGTAAAGCTGGATGGCCTTAAAAAGCTCACAGATTGAGTGAATGACATTATAACCAAGACAAAATGTTTTTAGCTGTGCACCCATTTATTTTCCCTCTTTCGTTGCAGTAATTTTCCTTAAGCACAAATAATGAAATACATGTATATGTGTGGTGTCACATGATTGTTGTTGCTCTTAAGTTGCCTCTCAGGGTGCCTGCGCAGTGGTCACATTCGTATTCTTAAAATTACTTCTTGTTTTTCTCTCCCTGAGTGATTGAAGGCCACTAAACCTTCTGATGTTCTAAGATGCCTTAGCTGCCATGGGACTGACAGCTCTTTTGCTAGAGGAGTCCTGAGCTCTATCAGCTTCAGATACCACATTGTGCCAGCTGTTCTCCATTGAGCATCTCATCTTCAGGTCTTTTTTTGAGGAAGTTTCAGTTAAATTGTTTTGCTGCTAAAGCTTGATTTCTTTGTTTCTTGTTCTTTGGTGAGATGAGGACAGTGCTGGATTTGTTGCTTGGAATGGGGACAGCTAGAAGATTCCTTTTCCAGATAAGTAGCATGCTGGACTGTCAGACCTGCAGGGAAGGATATTCTGAAGAACCAAAACACTGGACAGTCGAAGAAAATAAGAGACACTCAAGCATATATTGAGTCTCATTGCAAAATGAGGGTGATTGGGAGTTGTAGTCCTGTTGAATCCAGAAGAGTAGTGAAACTAATTGCACAGGATGCTCACAACAGTGCAGAATGCTATTCTTTACCATATAACCATTCCTCACCCTTCATGAGCCATAAATACAGCACCCTTATCCCTCTTGTGCACCAGATCTTGTTGCATGTGTCTGAGACATCACCTCCCAAATGTAGCCCTAATCCTGCTCTGGGTTCCAGGAATTGTGGCAAGGGCTTTGGAAGAGCCTGTGAAGTTGTGTAAGCTCTAAGGGTTCATGTGTCCATCGGTATTGCCAGGAGGAGTGAATGTCTGCTAGGTTTGATCAGTTGTGCAGGGCTGTTAAAAATCTTGCTGCATTTGAAACTTAGTCTTGTTTGTGAGTCTTGATTAAAGTTGGCCAACTATTATAGGATGGATTAGGGAGGTAGATGCATAAGGTGATCTTAGGAAAATGCATAAAAATCATGTAATGAAAAAAACCTATAAAGGTTTGTCTTCTAGTTAAGAAAGAAAATTTCTCCACCTTTCCATCTGCTCTTCACTTTCATATGAAGAGGGCAGTATTGTCTTCCTTATTTTGGTTTGTTTATTATTTTTAGAAAGTGTAGGAACACTTTCTGAAGCTGCTGGCAGTAAAGGCATTTTCAGTGAATCAGTTTCTTACATGGAAAAAACACCCACTCAAAAAGCTACATTAGATGTAGCTGTAAGTGGAAACTGATGTCTTATCCCAAGTCCACAGGCAAATCTTAAGTGCTGTCATTGATTAAGTACCTGTGTTACAGGTATATAACAATATCCCAGTTTTGCCTTATTTTTCATGTTCTGATAGGTCCTGTCATACTGCAGACAGGGTAAAAGTTTCAGGCCTGAAGAGCTGGCAAAGCTAAATGTCATGTGGAGGTGAGTTTCCAGGGCATGAAGCAGATGTATGATCTGCAGAGGAAGGAGATTCTCTTTGAAATGAAGATAATAGTTTTTAAGATAATTGTGATTTTTACTAAAAGCATTGCTGCTTCAGCTCATTTCACAGCCCATTTGTAATCAGTTGTTCAAACTGATGTTTGTTTTCTTGTGTTAGTGTGGAATTCTGATGCCAGCAGTCCTGGTGATGCACATCGCAGTGTTTCAGGCTTACTGCTGTGCTGGCTCGTGGTGAAGTCATGACACAGCTTCAGCACTGATCATGCTCTTGCACAAAGGAACACAGATCTCCCTTGCCTTTCCTTCAAGGTAGGCAAGCATATATCTTGTTTGCCTCTGGTTTTGCTAGATGATTCTCAGTAGATCTTAGCAAGAATGGAATTATGAGAAAGAAAGGTTGCCACCCAAAACCATCGCTTCTGTTTGCTTTTTAATACTGGAAGTGTTCTTAATTCCACACTCCTTTTGCAGTGACTTTTGCTTAGAGACTAGAACAAGATGTAGGGCTGAAATCTTCTCTGTTTACGTGATGATGTCTTGTTTGTAGCTCCTCTTATTCAGCAGTAGGAGGTGTGTACTTAAAATGTCCTTTGAAAGAGATGAGTTGTCATGGCAAAAGTCAGATCCCTTCTGTAAGATGTTCTGCAAAGCACATACAGAATAAACAAACCAGGATATAATAGAACTGCTGCGTGAGAGGACATGCACAGCACTAGAGAGCTATGGGACCCTTCACACTGGCGTTTTGCTTTTTCCTTGGTGACTCTGTTGGTCCTTCTTTTCTTGGCAGTTTAGCATTTTATTTTGACTGTATTGTCCTCCCATGAGATTAATAGTGTTTTCATCCTCTTCATGCCAGAAAAAGGCCTCCTTGGATGTGTCTCTTAATTTGTCATTCATGTTCTTCAGGGGCTGATATTTACAGAGATTGTAGAGAGGATATAATAATTCTGGTGTAAACTTAAGTTTGCTCATTGCTTATGTGCATAGATGCGTGCATTTGCTTCTAATACAAGTAAATTCTTGCAATTTCCTGTCAGGATTCCTGCTTGAGAATATCTAGTCTAAAGTGGGGCTAGGCACTTCTAATAACTTACTATTTTATGTTTGTCTTATTTTTATAAATAACTGCCAGGTGTTACAGAAGAGGACAGGCCTCCAAAGCTGCAGAAAACAAAGACTACACCACCTGTAAACAGACAGACAGTGGATGCTGAGGAGCTGGAGGCTCTTAGAAAGTCTGTGGAGGAGTTTTTCTGCTCTTTATATGGTGGGTGCTTTAAATTATTCTGAAGAGCTGTTCTAGATTTTAAAAATTTTATTCCATTTGGGAGGAAAAAACTGTGTGATTTTAGCCTTCTAACTACAGTGCTATTTTTAGAAACTTTTAGTAGCTGTTTCTAAAAAATACACATATAGTGGTTCTTCTTGGTGTGTTTTGTAGGATGTGATTTGAGATTATTGCACAGTGCGTATTAGTGCCAGCAGTATTTGGTTTTCTGAGAAGATTCTCATCCACACTTTGCTTTTGCTCCAGTACTATCCAAAGTTACAAAGTTTTATGAGGCACTCATCCTTTTGCTAACTTCAGCAGTCTCAACATCAAAACAACCTCCTCTCTTTTTTCTAGGTAAAGCTTTAGGAAAGCCAGCGGCAGTACCTGTGACATTCGAAGAGATTCAGAGGAACCAGTCTGTTGTGATAGTGCAGGGCCTGCCTGAAGGAGTCACATTTAAACATCCATCAAATTATGATGTTTCCACTCTGAAATGGATTTTGGAAAATAAATCAGGGATCACATTTAGTATCAACAGGTTATTTACTCTCTTTCTTGTGCTGATCTGTTAAATTTGGTTTTGTACTTAAGTAAAATTAATTTTAATTTTTAATTAAATACACTGCAGACTGTTTCTCTTACATAGGAATTCTCTCTGTAATATACACTATCAAGTAATTAACAATGTCTTTGCTAAAATTGAGTTTTTCTTCCCATATTTCCACGCAGGCCTTTTTTGGAACTAAGGAAACATGTAGGTAAGTTAATGTTTATTCAGATTAAACAGAAAAAGATTGAAATTTGAGTTTAGGAAGCAATATATGTAGAGCATTTGGTCACGTAAATAAAGTGGCAACTGTGTAGAAATTTCTAGATTGTGAGTTTCCTTATTTATAAGTAAAACTTTCCTATATATAAGCCTTTCCTTTATGTGTTTGCCAGGAGAACTCATTAGAGATAAAATTCATTCTGTTTCATCCTATGTCTTGCTCAAGTTCAATTCTGTTTCATTCATCATTCTTATACTGAATTTCAACCTAATATGAATTGCATAGTATCCTAGAAGAAGAAGTGAACATAGGAAGGACTGCTTTCAGTTTTTAGAAGATGCCAAGACTTTCTAGTGCTTGTTTTCCACTACCCAGCTGATTTTGGCAGTTATATTTAATTTTAAAAAGTAACTTAATCTTCTGAAGTAGCTACGTGTTGTAGTTCCTCTGAAAGCCTCTATATATGAAAAATTCTGACCTTGAGTGAATTTTGTAAAACTTTGGAAATATTCACTTCTCGCTTAGGAGAAATCCCATCTCCTCTTCCTTTTATAGTATCGTGTTGCTTTAATTGCTAAATGCATAACTGTAGGGATTTGTTTTATGAAAATGATGAAGCAATCTCTGTAGGAATGTCAAAAAAGAAAAGTTTAATTTCATAAGTGGAAGAGCCAGAAGTTGATGCTTGATTAGTAAAATCAGAGATGTGTTGCGTATGCTCAGGTTGAGGACTAGAGATGGAATATTACAGAAAATCTGGTAATAACATAGTTCTATCAAAAATACAAGGTAGGTTTTCAGTGTGCTAAGTGACATTCTAAAGCTGTTTGTGTCTCAGTACAGTTTAATGGGATCTTTCATTATCTGTGAATAAGGAAAATCTGCAGATATGCTTGTAAAATTTGAACAGGCTTTTGCTTTGTGAAATCAGTGCTAGATTTTCAATTTGTGTTTTAAGTAAATGGGGTATAGGAAATTCAAATATTGTCTTTTAACTTTCAGGAGCTGATATGACAGATCCTTCACATTCAGTTACACGCCCACGTGAAAGGTGAATTTAAAATAGTGTAGATTTTTTTTTTAATCACCTATCTATTTTCATGTTGTTATCTTTGTCTTAATATGCTTTTTCTGCCCAGCTGACCTTTGAATAACTTTTGCTTGCTTGGCATTATAAAAAACATGAAGCTCAATCTTCTCTTTCTTTTGTTCATTATTTGTGAGGAAACTGTTAGAAGGTAAACGAATGGCAAAGTTTCTCCTCAGTTTAATTAGTCCAGTGGGTGTTCTTAATTCACAGTCTGTTTGTCAGGGATAAGTTTGCCATGTTTTATGGTACAGCAGTGAGGGAGAACAGATGTAATGTTGCTTCATTCCCCCTCCTCAATTTGAAAAAAGTTATTTTTTTTAAATTAGTAAATGAAGATACTATATCTGATATATATCAAAAATTTGTTAATATGAAAACAGGGATCAATTTTCTGTATTTCTGCATTTGCCTCTCCTTAAATGCTAAACATGATCTGAATATTGTGTCTGCCTCAAAAATTGTAGGAATATGAGATTGCTGGCAATTCACTTGTGAGAAATCAAATAAGCCAGTGTGCAGGGTTTTTTAATTTTGTATTCTTGTTAGAAAAAATTCTGAGAGATTGATTTTGCTTAACAAGCTATAAAGCTTTAAGAACTCCCCAGAAATCTAAGGTTTGTTTTTAATAATGTCATTCTGTTTGATTTGCTTAATTTTATAGTTGTCCTCCTGTTAATGTGAAAACGGAACCAAGCAAGGATTCTGGTATGTTCAAGATTTTGCCTTAACTTGCAGGGAAAAAAAAAAAAAGAAAGCGCCAGATTCTGTTAGAATACTGAACTTAAGCAAAGACAGAAAAAAAAAATCTCCAAAAAATGAGAAAAGAATATTAGCAAAAATACATACTTTGTGAGATGGAAAAACGTTTCTTTCCTTGAAACTGCCCATTTTTCAGTTGGAATTTTTATCAGATACTGAACCCTAGTCAAATGCTTCCATTTAAAGAGGAAAATTACAAAAATTTGTAATACATTGTAGACTAAATTTATCTTTATGTAATTTAGAGAATAATTTATTTGTTAATATTCCTAAAATACTGAAAATTAAGAAACATAGATTTTCTAGCTAAAATAGAAATAAAAAGTTCCTAAATAACAAGATGTGTTATTTGTTATTTAAAAAATGCCAGATCATTTCTAAGTTGCTGTGCAGGTAGCAGATGATTCCCCAAGGCACTGTGATCTGTGGCAGAGTAATGCTGAAGTGTATGCTGTGAGATAAAAGCATGGGTAATCCCATTAAAGCCAGTGAGGCAGCAGGTGTGCTGGGAGATAAACTGGTGTCTTTCCATTTTGCTGGATTGAGTTGCACTGCTCACTTTCCTATTATAATTAAGTTTTCATATATAGTCCAGCTTTTTGCTTAAATGTGTGGTTTAGGCACCCTCCATGGTTAATGTTTGGCTTGACATACGCAAAGGATTAATGTGAACTTTTTGCTAAGTCAGTCCCAGACTCTTTCCAGTGCTGCTTTTTAGGCATTTTAAATAATTCTCACAGAAGAACGTGCAGGAGCGTTTCCAGGACTTTCAGCACAATGAGTGATAAAATATATTTTTTTCCTGTGGTAGCGTGCAAAGAGGAAGGAGCCCATTTAAAAAATATTCTTGAGATCTGAGACAGCATCTGCAGGGAAGCCCAGTTTGTAGGGAGGTATTTAATCCTAGATTATTTCTGGGGTTGGCCAAACTGAGACATAAAAAACCAGCAGCTCACTTTGTTACCATTGTTTTAGCTCAACAAATGACTAATATTTTATGCTTTTTTCCTTTTTTTTTTTTAAATAGAGACCAACAAGGATCATGGTGAGTGCTTTTCTTTGTTTTGTTTTAAGAATCTTCTTATTACTAGTTTCCATATTTGATTCCTTTGTTGCTTCCACAGGAATTCCTTCTAAAATGTCAGAAGTAACAATGAAGCAGGAAAGAGATGATCCTAACTACTATCAATTTAATACTCCAGGTAAGGATACTAATTTTCATATGTGTTTATCTCATGAAAGGACTGGTTGCCTAAGTGTTGATCTCTCCATACCTCTCTTTTTTACTAATTTTTGGTCATTAAACATGCAATTACTTAGCTCTGTTAGGATACAGCATTTCCATGCTGCCTATCATGTAAAAGTTATTATGAAGAATACCAAAAGACCTGAAGAACAACTTCATCCCAAACCCATATATGTTTGTTTGGTCTGAAGAAGTTCCAGGACTCTTTTGAACTGCTTGATATGTTTTTCTGAGGGTATAATGTGCAGACTCTATAATTCAATTTCTTTGTTAAGCAGGAAATAAGCCTTTATAGTGATGCTTTCTAGAGCACTGCATTAACTTTTTCTTTAGTTTAAAGTTTCAGTAACTTTTGTACACTGCATCCCATAATCAGCCATTCTATGATTCTATGATTGGAAGTGTATCAGTCACTTCTCTTGTATGGAATGACCAATATGTGTCAAAATGTTTGAAAAGTTTATTTACATGGTCTAAGTATAGCAATATTTATGAGGCCTATGGTCCAACCTCTATGTCTGTTTTAAGTTTTCTCCCAGTTGCTTTGCTTCACCTCTATGTATCCAGTTTACACATTTACCTCATCTAGGAGAAAACAGAAATTGTTTTAAGTTGACATGAATGGTAATTAAGAAATTGTGACTATAAATGGCAATATAAAATAACTAAAACCTTATATTTATAATTTCAACCTATGTGTATTTGTCATTAGGTTAATTGAGTAATGCAAGGAAACATGGGCAAGCTACCGCACATCTCTCAATGACAGTTACATGTTCAACAGTAAAGTGCAAAACAGCACATCTCTTCATTTTGTAATATTATATATTATTGTGATAATATTTTGTGTGTGTTCAGCCATGAAGATTCTTGAGACTATTTTCTAATATGCGTTAATAGCTAACTATGGGGATGTGGAATCAATATTTTCATCCTAGCATATCTCAAGAAAGCATCATTCAGAGAGACCTCAACCATAGCATAGCGAAGTGTCACCCTTTGAGTGCAGAGCTGGACGGGTGTTAGGATTATCTGCTCTTTATATGTGTACCTTGCCTGGCCTAGGAGTTTTACAGGCTAGGCAAATTAGTGGCTTAGAGGCGTGATTTAATGTTGTAAAAGGAGGTACCAGTGTGAAGACAACCTACGCATTGTTCCTTCCTACACCAAGTCTTCTTATCCTTTTGCTTTTCATCCCCATTGTGGTTTTCCATTTCATGCATACCAATGATGTCAGAATTTGACCAATAGCCCACAGTGTAACTCAATCTTATATGAAGAGAGTCTACACTGAAATCGCTTCTCTACAAAATAGCATCCATTGCACTGCAGCTGAAAAATCCAAGTCATGCAATATGCTTCCAGAATGAAGTCTAAGCACATTTGACAGGGGGGATTTCTGTTGTCTTTCACAGAACTCTAAATCTTCTGATTGATGGAGAGAAATATATAACTCTTTCTGATAAAGTGGTGCTTGATAGATAACTCCCCGTCTCCTCCTGCAGTGTAGTTATCCAAAATAGCATTTAAAACAAGACAGAACTGAGTGTATTGGTAGAAGTGATGGGGTGCTGTGAGCCGAAAGATATTTCTCTTTCATATCAAGTCATGCTGACTAGACAAGTAAAGCAGTTTCCCCTTCATTCTTCAAGTAGCTACCACTCTGATTCAAGCCAAAGGGTTGTCCAAACTATAGAGCTATAAATTCTGGAGGCACATAGGTGTTTATGTGGTGCTGTACAAGAAGTGAACCTTTAAAAAGTGGTTATTCTAAGGGGTGTTTCTGAGGAATGGCATAGTCTGCCCCAGCATTGCCTTTGGAGAGATGTGCTACAAAATAAAGAAAACAGATAAGGTAATAAATTTTGCTAAAAATAACCTACACCAAAAGCCAGGCTTATCCATTTCTGAGAAGAAACAACTTAACTGTTAGAGAGCAGCAGTCTGCTTGGGCTTCCTGCAGAAAATGATTCACCGATAAAAATTTCATGGTTGTATTTTTTCTCTAAGTGCTTCCTCTCTAAGATCTTTAATGCTGATCCTTGTGCTGTATGCCTGGATGGCACACTAACTTTTCCTGTTAACCAAAGAGGGAAAATTAGATCTGTAGGTGGATATTCTTCTCATCCCGGTTGAAGGTTGCACCATTTAGATGTTGTCATGAGTTAAAACTGAATTACTAAATTTAGAATGGTTTTAGCAGTACACAGTAAGATGACTGTGAAATAGGGAAATAGGGACTGTGAAATAGAAATAGGGACTTCAGTCATCTAAAACTTCATGTGGGTTTACTGACAGAGAATAAGGGGCAGTTTTCTGTCAGTGGGCTTTAGAACTGTCTTAAGTAACAAAGTAAGATGTAACCAAAAGTATGTATTCTATTAACTGCTTCATAAGCTGTTAGAACAGGTGGGGCAGTGTTCCTTATCTCTTCTCTATGACTCATCCCTGATAACTCTGGGGTGATCTCTGCTAATGGGCTATCAAGTCTCACTGCATGACTTATAAATTCCATCATCCCATTGGGAGATGCTCTGCCCTGGGGGAGGAACCAAGCATTCCTACCTGGATACAATATGAGGCTTGGAACACCATGGGTATTCTTATTTAATGAATTAATAAAGGATAAGAGCTACATAACCAGCACTGGTCCTTCAGAGGAAGACCAGAGCCTTCTACAGGATCACTGCTTCAACAGAACCACATCTATCACTCCAACAGATCTGCAGCCACCATTTAATTGGACTGCTACCACCACCCTGACCAACAGGTTATCACATTATATTCTGACTCTCAGTTTAATCCAGTGTTTTCTTGTCGCTGTTGAGAAGACTGATCAGAAGGCTGCTGAGAGCAAAACTCCAGTTTATTCAAAATACACTGCTCTTTTATACAGAAGTTTGTGAGGACTAATTCCATTGGCTCTGAAGTGAAAACAATTCAGCATTGGTGCAAAGTGCTTGACGCACAGTGATAGAACTTAACTATAAACAATGTGAAAAACAAGAGAGATAAAGAATTATTTACATTCTTCTCCAGCTCTTTCCCAGGCTTCTGCCTGGCTAGAAATTCTGTTTCTTTCTTTGACTGAAGCTGAGTCCCACATTTTCTCTTTTTATTTTAATTTTCCTATTAAATGGTTGTTCTGACTTGGAATCTCCCACTGGTTTGCTTTCAGACTAGTATAAGCATTATGGCAGTGGATGTTTTTTTCAAGTGCCCAGGACAAATATGAAGGTTACTGCAGTGTTAAACTTGGGGGAGACCAAAGACAACCTGTTCTGGGAAAAACGTCCAGATTTTGGTGATTGACTGAATGAGGAAAAGGACTGAGTATTGATTGTCAGGACTAAGTGACACATTCTGGAGTATTCCAGCTATGTTAGCTAGTATTCCTGCATGTGCATTACCTGTAAGTATCAGTGACATGGCTCTTATGAAAAGAAGCATAACTGAAAATGCTCTTTCTTGGTTCAGTGGTTTAAATATAATTTAGTATTTTTACTAGAAACCAACAAATTAAATAATCATTTCTCCAGAGTCAGATGTATTTTCAGATTTGAGAATACCCCATTTGTCCTATATAAAAACAAACCTTTGGGGCTCAAAAGTGTGGCACTGCAGAGTGACTGCTGAGTGCTCTGTGCATTATCATCACAGGGTAAAGCAGGGTTTTTTGGTGGCATAACCCATAAGGAACTGAATTATTTGCTGACTGATGACCAAATACTTAGTAAAAGTGGCATGTTATCCTGTAAATTTTGTGAATGTAGGTCTTCACTGATGCCTTGAAGTTAAAACGAAGAAAAATGGAAGCAGAAGGAAAAGGCTGTAAACAGTCTGTCCTGTGAATTGCCTGGTTCAGTTTATAAAACACCTAGAAGTGAGTAAAAAACTGCCTAACAGCTTTTCTCTTTAAAACACCACGTAGTTGAACTGTGCTGTCAGTTTTGGAATTTTTGACAATGTCAGTGAGGCAGTTAAAATACAGGACATTCATCCAAACCTAAATGAGATTGAAAATGTCTTCTACAAAGAAAAAGCCCTAAATGTGAATATAAACTTTGCATTTATTCTCACTCTGAAACCTTAAAAGTAATGAATGTCTGTTATTATGTCTCTAACAACAAAATATTTTTCCTTTGGAGATCTCTCAGAATACTGAACATAATGTCCATTTTAATGGAGCTAAATCTGTGAAGCTAGGCTGGCATGTAATGCTGAGTATGCAGGTATTATCTTAAACCAAGAAATTCCAGAAAATATATTGAGCACAATGTTGTGCTTCCTGAGGGAAATCACATCTAGTTCACATTGATACTCTTATGGGTAACCTATAAAAATACCAGAAAAGTGAGCATTGCTGGTGATGCTTATTCACGAGGTGATAAATCCATTCCTTCTGCCAAGTGGCCCAGGTTTGGCTGTGGAGTGTTAGGACATTAGGACATAATCCATTAGAAACTGAGGCTGAGAGGTTTGGAATCAGTGTAAGTAAATGGTGTCTGGGGGTAGACAGAAAGAATAGTTGTGACTGTTGAGGGAACAACACCTTCACTTGTTTTTGTTGGATTTGTTGGAATGTGAAAAATCACCTATTTGTAACAGGCATTTCAGGAGTTTCAGTTTATGCCAACAGCCATCTCTTAACAGAGGTTCCACTGCCCTGCTGAATCCTAGACCAAGCACATGCTTTGGGTGCATTGTCTGTCATGTATTTATCTGCTCACGATAGACCAAGTTTTGTTCTGAGTGTTTGAGAATTCCCAAATGCCTGTGCCGTGTAAGAGAGCTGGCTGTTAGCTGAAGAGCATACATCTGCTTTCTCTGGTTCAAGGTGAAACTGCTTAGCTTTGCCTACAGATCTGAAGTACAGATTCCAAGACATAAGAATACTGAGAGATTTTAATTCTAATGTGTTCTGTGGTTTTAGTAATTAATCTCCCATTTCTATCTCCATCCTTCCTCCTACATCCTACCTTCAGCAGTAGAATTTAGTTCTTCTTTCTTTTCTTATTTTTCTATTTTGTGATTTTTTTCTGTGTATTTCTGGATGGAACTTCTTTTGATCTGGTTACCACTGTACTTGATTTTTGCTTTTCTTAGTTATGTTATCTGTGTATTTCTGCCTGTTGTGTGCATTAATACAGTAAAGTGGAAATGTATCTGTTTTTATTAATATCTCTTGGTGGTAGAACTCTTCTAAATTTAATTTTCTAGTCTTTACTAAATTAGGGGAGCAGAATCTATTTTTTGAAATGTTTAAATTTCGGAAACAACTTTTTCATACTCTGTCCACACTTTGTAATATGGAAAAAATGTTCAAGTTTAATGAAAATCTGTGTTGGTCACTGGTAAAAAAATCTAATGGTTGTACTACATGTACAGTAGGTTTTATCAGTATTACAGATAAAAGGACTGAATTATCTGTGCTTAATCCCAAGGGCTATAAATCTACTAAGTTTATCTTTTTAACTAGAGAAATATTTCTTCAAGTTTAAATGCATGGAAGATTATTAGTTTTCCTTTTTTATTGCTGTCACAGCATGTATTTGGCACAAAGATAATGCAATACAGAGAATACTGCAGAATATGTGGGTAAAACAATCCTGTCAGGATTTCTGAGTTAAGGATTAAATGCAAAACTGTGCATATTTTGAGATATTTGGTTATAGTGGGATGCGTACTTCTGTGTGCCTTATGAGTAATAATAATTGCATGTTCACAGGAGTTCTTAGGAAATGACAAACCTGACTGGGTGCATCTGCTGAACATGCTGATTTAAATAAAAGCAAATTTAGTCGATGGAGACATTTTCAGCACAGCCAGGGGGGTTGTGTTCTATTCCCATTCACCCCTAACAGTTGTAGATCACACTGTTGTATGAGAATTCTTTCTGGTGAGGCCTGGAGCACCAGCCAGTGTCTCTGGCTCTGGTTTGCTCCTTTTCCTCCCTGTTTTTCCCATTTTTGGACTATGGTCTCGGCTGTGCCAACATCAGTCTTTGTGGAGCTGTGTTTTGAACAAAATCAGGGAGCTCCTCTGAAGTAAATACATTTTTTAAAAATAGAGGAAACACCTTCTCTCAGCAAAGAAAAGTGGCAGGAGCAGATCTAAGTAGCACTTGTTGATTCAAGCCAAGAATTTTGCATTGGTTCCTCACTTGAAATGCTGTTTATTTTAAATCTCTTCAAAAATCTGAACAATCAAATTAGGCAGAACGGTTCAAGGTAGCATTATTGTAACCACCTAATTAGCATTATTTTCTTTCATACTTAAATACTCACTTATTTGATGCTGTATATGTACTTCCAGTTGACTGAAATACTTACAGTCTCTGATTGTGACAATAGTCTTTTCTGTATTTTCTTTCTTATCATGCAGATGAAATAGAGTTTAGAATATTTCATTGTCTTATTAATTAACAGTAGCTTTTTTGTTGTGGCACTATTAATACTCTTGCTTATACACTTATGAACATATCTCTAAACAACTAGAATTTCTGGTCAGCTATGTGAGCTTCTGCAGATTGCTTTTGTAAACACACACAGAAATTACCAGATTTGCACAGAACAGTTAGTCCAAATCAGTCAGTTCCAGTTACTCTTCTTTACCACACATAGGCAGGTTTTCCATACCTGTGCTATTTCTGTGGTATAGAATGGCCTCTTAGTGTGGTGTTGGTTGTGCTGTAAGCAGCTCACCCTTCTGGCATAGCTGCAGGAGAGCCAGAGCAGTAAGCAGTAGCATTTTAAGAGTGTTAATCTGTTAAGTGTAGTTTCTGTGCTCCTTTCTGCACAGGCTTTTTAAACCAGTCTGTAGTCTTCAAAAGAACTGTTCTTTTCAAAAGAAAAGTAAACAGCCTTGGAGTGTCATAAATTACTTCAATCCCTGTGAATTTATGTATTTGATGTAGGTAGGAATGTTGAAGTCAAAGAATACTCCTTAATGAACAGGAAAAAAGATCTAGCTGATTAAAATGTCATTGAAGAAAGGCAGAAGCATCAACCTTTCTTTTTTAAAAAAATTTTTATTAGGTGAAAGATTGCTGTTCAACGTGAGTCTCTTGACTGTTGAGTAGGTCAAGAAATACACAATGCTGCCACTAACTACATTATTATTCTGTTCAACCAAGTAAGCAAGGATTTATAAATACTAAATATTTTAACAGAGTCTTTCCAAAGTTTAACATTAAGAAAGTATGAAGTGAGCACATAATATATGAAATTAAAAGTTACTTGGCAAATTCTTTTGTGGGCTGGAGGTATGTTTGTTGTGAGACACCCCTAAAAACTGTTCTCTCTGTTCTCAAGCAGGCCCATCCAAAACATCAGAGATAGATGAAAAAATTGCTCCTGGAAAAAGTTACACAGGTAGATCTTTTGCTTGTATTTTTTCCTCACATCTGTTTTAGAAATTAAATGTGTGATTTTGGCTTTTCACAGCTTTGCTGCTTGATTTACCATGAAACTGAGGGTATTGGAACTAAAACATTAATAGAAATGAAAATTACAGTTGTTTTAATTTCCATCTGTCCAGGTAGAGAGACAGGTAGACAGGAACTTAATTTCTTCCTTTTTAAATTCAAAGATGAGCATCAAGTTGATCACTCTAAAGCACTAGTTGTTTGTGTAAATTAGTATGTTTCCTAAAAAATTCAGTCTGTTTCATAATGGCTTATAGAGTTTAATAAAACTCTGCTTTATAAGTTGAGTGCAGCTTAACTATGTTTTTCAGTTCAGTATGAGGTGAATGAGCACATAAATAAATAAAAGGTCTGTGTTAGTAGAAGCAGTAACTTACAGAAACTGTAGTAGCTGAAATGCCTTTACAAAAAAATGGTGCCATTTTTTTCAACTGTTAAGAGTTTACATTAAAAATATTAGTTTGCCCATTTGCAAAGACTAGAAAATATTAACCTGCATTTAACACTGTAGTAGTGTTAGTGGTAAGATCAGAATGTTCCTGCTACCATGAATTTTTAAGATGAGAAAACAACCTTCTGAGTGTTGTTCACATTAACAAAATAATTCTGGAATTTCTCCTGTGAAAATCCTTACTTTAAATAAGGATTTAATCCTTACTTTAAGTAAGGATTAAAAATTGTTAAAAATTTCTTATGTATTTACAACTGCGGTATCTTATTTTATATTTATAAAGAAATAATCAGTGTGGGATAACTCAAGCATAGAGAGATCTAAAGGAAAATACACTTCAAAATGCACAAGTGCAGCTTTACTCTGCCAGAATAACTAAAATCTGTTCCTTCATGCACTGCTGCTTAATTTGGATAGAGTTCCTGGTACAATTAGCTTCACTTTGTTTAACTGTAGTGCAGTTAAGTATAAATTGCTCTTTCTCACTCTGAGTGTTGATTGGGTAATCCTGCTTGTCTTGTTGGTGCACTTTGCCCCAACAAAAGCATTGTGATGATGAATTTCCCTCCCCTGTTTGATTGTTGGCCTTGAAGCCTGTTGTGGAACTCCTGATGGCACAGCAACCATAAGTGTGTAGAGCTGGTAAAAAAACACCGAATCTGTGTGGACAGGCAGCCTTTGTTTATATTTTGAGTAATTGTGGGTAAGAGAGGAGAAAATATTTATGATTGTATTAACCCTAGAAAGCCAAGATGATGGAATTCCCTTCAGTCATAGCAGGAACTCTGCAGTGTAGTATGTGCAGTTTAGCAAGTGTAATCTTCCCTTCCTTGTCTTTGTCTGGAATTGCTCAAAGGCTCATGCTAGCATATGTTTGCTTCTCTTTTTGTTGCATGCTGCGAGTGCGGCCGGTTTCCTTGACAATGTGGTTTAGATGCAGGGGCATGGATTGTTTGGTTGAAAATCTTGTCCATTTCCACCATTCAGCAGTTCTGTTTTTCCCTTACAGAGTCTGCCCAACCTGACTCATCAGAAACAAGTGACAATTCTGAGGGTGAGTTTGATAATGCTGGTGAGTTCCCCAGGTCATTGATTTCCAGCATTTTTCTGTCCAAAGTGTTTTCCAGAGATTGCGTTACTTGAATGAAGAGAATTGTGTGTTGGTGTTGAGTGTATTTTAGACTGTGCACTGCTTGGTGAATGAACCTTGTAGAGCAGTATTAGAAAACTACAATATACTGAAGCATATTGGACTTGCTGGGCTGGTTTTGAAATGATGCCTGACAGCCATTTTTATATTTTAAATAATTTTCAAGTGTTGTTAATGAAGAATACTTACTGAATGGAGAAGATGTTATAACATTCCTTCCTTCTGGAGAACACATTGCTTTATAAACATGCTGTAGTAATATGTAACATTTGTAGTTAATAAATGCTTCTGGGCAGAAAGGTACCAGAACACAAAGGCAGTGTTGCAGGTGGCAATTGGAGCCTCAAGGTGTCTGTCTAATATTGGTAACTCTGAGACCCAATCCTTTGCACTGACCAGGTCCCTTTGTCATTGAAATGTCTCTAAAGCTGCAGAGCAGTGTCCCTGCTGTCCTCATGCTAGGATGTTGGTAGGAGGTGAGCTGTGTTTCTTGTATTTGTGAATGGGTGTCCTGTAAGTGCTTTAAAACACTGCTGAGATTGGCTTATTCAGTGCTTGCTTGTGGAATTCGATTAGGAGCAGCCAATCAGCAATTTAGAAAGTAGGCAGGGCATTGGGAGAAAGTGGACATTTCTGGCATTACTTTCACCATTTTACAATGCAACATGGAAATAATTCTAATGTTACCTCAACAGAATAATTTATGAGAAGTGTCATTAAGTTCTGCCTACATATGAAGGCTGTTACCACAAAAGTAAAAGTGCTCTGCAAAGGTTTTCTGTGACAGAGTATAACAGAACTGTATAGGTACAAGATTTGTCAATATGTGATATTATTCTTGCTGTGTAAACCATACCCTTGGTGACATGGGTGCATGTTTTTCTGCATTTGAAATTAGTTTTCTTTGTCTGCTCTAACCATTTGTTCTCTCTGAGTTTGGAGCTATTGTTAATTGGCCATCTAAAAAGCTCATTACCTTAGGGAAGGTAAGGGATGGGTTTGGAAGTGACAGGCCTAGTAGCAGCTCTCTGACACATTGCTAGTTTTGCTGTTCTCCTGTCTATCCACTTGTGTGTGTTTAAGGCAGGGTTGACCAGTTTGATAAATTCTATTGTCACCCATTGGTTTTACACTGCTTTGGAAGTGGTTTTAGAACATTTGAGGTCTTCAAGACAAAACACAGGTACTGTTTTTTGAGCTCTACTATGGAATGATATTGCTTCCAGTTAGATAACAAAGGTAGTCCCTATCTGCACAATTTATTCTGTGATTCCTTTTGCTGGTGCATGGTCGTTTTCCCATCATGAGTTTCCCAGTCCTGTTTCAGAAGCCAATGTTGTTTTCCTTAGGCAGTCCAGAAGCAGTTTTGTTTTTTGCCCTCATATGCTTTGCTCAGGCCCTCTTGAAGGAACAAGTTGTTCCTTCACAGATAAGGACAGGAGCTTTCTGAAGTTACTTATGTAATTTAATGGTTGCAAAATGTGTTGCTCTGCTAAGCAGAGTTCCTTAATTCTGTTTTAGTTTTAAAATTCAAGGCAGTTGCAGTGCTGCACATGAGTTCCCTGGACATAAAACTATTTTTTTTTTCTTTTGTTTTTAAAGATGATGTTGATGATGGTGATTATAATAATGATGGTGACGAGTACCTGCCCTCTGAAGGGAGCCGGCGGAGCCCAGGTTTGACTACTGAAGCAGCCAGTACTGGGGGAAGAAATGCACAAGAGTTCAATTTTAGTAAGATGAAAGTTCAAGATAATTTTGTCTCTCTGCTGTGTTTTATGAAAAAGCTTTGGCTCATTTTGTTATGCTAAAAAGTTCATTATCGTCACATAAAAACAGTCACATCAACTGATGACTTAAAACATTTTTGACAGAATTAAGCAAAAAAAATAAAATTTTTGGAATTTCATTTAAGGGTTATGGGCTCTGTGTAGATGTATTGCAGCAGTATTGTCACGATCAATCAGCTACCCTGGTTTTTGTTTTTTATTTGATATGATGACATAAATAGATGCAGAGGAAGTTGGGATTTTCTGGTTGTGTTCTTTCATCATCCCTTCTTTTGGGTTCTCCACAGAAACACATCCATGCTCTTGAGTTTAGTCTGCTTAAAGATGCTTCACCTGGGATTTTTTTGTGGTTCTGTACCTCTCCTTTATTCTGTCGTTTAGTTTGGTTTAATTTGTGGACACATTAATCTGTCTACCTTTATAGGTTCTGTGCAGTCAGGAATATGTTTTTCAGTTGATATTTTTAAGGCAGCCATCAGAGTGCTGATTGTATTGAAAGAACAGTTGTGGAAATACATTTAGAGCGTTTGAGATGTGTAATGTTTTTTGTGAGGATAAATTGTACCAAGCAGAGTGATGTAGAGTCCCCAGGCAGGTGCAAAGGAGAGTCGTTCATAGCAAAAAAACAAAAAACAGGCCTTTTTTAAGCAGTAGCCCATTATCTGTTACATTCCATTTAAGTATAATAGATATAATTCAAATAACCACTCTAAACCACAGTGTGAGCATGTCATGGTTATATAACTTGTTTTTCTGCCTCCAGTGCAGCTGTGTCACTTCACCATAGTCCTTTTCTGCATAGCTGAAGTAACAGGCCTCAGCCATGATTTTACAAGTGTAACAAGGCCTTGTTTTATAAGGTTTGCCTGTATGGTTTAGATGTAAAGGCATGGAGTGTTTGGTTGAAAATCATGTCCATCATTGAGCAGTCCTGTTTTTCCCTTTCAGAATCCTCCCACCATGACATGTTAGAAACAAGCGAGAAACCTGAGGTTGAGGTCACCCTTGAAGGTCAGTACCACGAGTCCTGAATTTCAGTTGGTTGTGTGCATTTTTCTATCCAAAATGTATTTTCCAAAAACTGCATTACTTGACTCTGAATGAAGAGAATTGTGTGCTGTTGTTGAGTGTAGTTTGAATTGTGCACTGCTTGGTAAATGAATCAGGTGGAGCAGTATTAGAAAACTACAATATATAGTGATGCATATTGGACTTGGTGGGCTGGTAATGAAATGATGCCCGACAGCAATTTGTGTATTTTGTGTATTTTTCAATGAAAATGAAAAATGAAAAATAGTCACTGAGTGGACAAAATGTTATAAGATTCTTTCTTTCTGGAGAGCACATTGCTTTATAAACATGCTGTATTTATATGTAGCATTTGTAGTTAATAAATGCTTCTGGGCAGAATGGTACTAGAACGCAAAGGTAGTGTTGCAGGTGGTAATTGGAGCCTCATGGTGTCTGTGTGATATTGGTAATTCTGAGATCCAAACCTTTGCACTGACCAGGTCCCTTTGTCATTGAAATGTCTCTAAAGCTGCAGAGCAGTGTCCCTGCTGTCCTCATGCTAGGATGTTGGTAGGAGGTGAGCTGTGTTTCTTGTATTTGTGAATGGGTGTCCTGTAAGTGCTTTAAAACACTGCTGAGATTGGCTTATTCAGTGCTTGCTTGTGGAATTTGATTAGGAGCAGCCAATCAGCAATTTAGAAGGTAGGCAGGGCATATAGGACAGGGTGGACACTTCTGGTATTACTTTCACCTTTTTACAATGCAGCGTGGAAATAACTCCAACATTACTTCAACAGAAAAGGTTATATGAGACGAGTCATTAAGTTCTGCTTGCATGTGAAGGCTGTTACCCCAAAAGTAAAAGTGCTCTGCAAATGTTTTCTGTGACAGAGTGTGACAGAACTGTATAGGTAAAAGATTTGTCAATATTTGATATTATTCTTGCTAAGTAAACCATACCCTTTGTTGACATGGGTGCATATTTTTCTGCATGTGAAATTAGTTTTCTTTAATAAGCAGAGTTCCTTAATTCTGTTTTAGTTTTGAAATTCAAGGCAATTCCAGTGTTGCACACAAGTTCCTTGGTCAAAATACCATTTTTTTTCTTTTTTTTTGTTTCTTAAAGAAGATGATGATGACTACCTACCACCTGACAAGAGACTGAAGAGCACCAAGTCGGCTACTGAAGTGGCCAATACTGGTAGAAGAAATGCAGAAGAGTTCAATTCTGGTAAGATGAAAATTCAAGATTATTTTATCTCCTTTGTTTTATGAAAAGGTTTTGGGTGATTTTTTGCTGCAGAAAAAGCCAGTATAGTTGCAAAAATAGCTCTCACATTAACTGATTGTTTAGAATGTTTTTGAGAGAATTAGAGAAGCTAAAAAGATAAAACATATACAGCATTTTTGGAATTTCATTTAAGAGCCATGGGCTCTGTGTAGATGTATTCCAGCAGTATAATCATCATCATAGGCTATCTCTGTTGGTTTTTGTTATTTGGCACGATGACATAAATAGACAGAAAGTTGGGATTTTCTGGTTATGTTCTTCCGTGATCCCTTCTGTTGGGTTTTCCACAGAAATGCATTGATGATCCTCAGTTTAGCCTGATTAAAGATGCTTCACCTGGTATTTTTTATGATTCTGTACCCCTCCTTTATTCTGTGGTTTGCTTTGGTTTGATTTGGCTTATGGACACATTCATCTGTCTACTTTTATAATGTTCTGTGCAGTCAGGAATATGTTTTTTACTTGATATTTTTGAAGGCAGCCACCAGAGTTCTGATGGCAGTACAGGAACAGGTGTGGAAATGCAATTATAGCATTTAAGATGTGGGGTGTTTTTTGTGAGTATAATTAACATAGTTGGATATTTTTTCGTGGAAATATTTGGAAGATGTCGCCTCATTGAAATTGTACATATTTTCACCTAATTGGTTTTTCTGATTTTTGTTTAGTTTTACTTTTCATCTCTTTTCATTGCTTTAAAACAAAATAGTGTTCCAAGGGAGGAGGGGCCCTCCCTGGAGTGGAAAGATGACCTCCTTCATTCAAAATTTTATTGATATTGAAATACATGGCTTCCCTGCAAAGGAGTAGGAAAATGAATAATACTTTTTTACTAGTCTGTGTGTTGTAGATGAGTAATGCTATGATTGACTCACAAGTAAAAGACAAATACCATGTATATATGTTAAGAGAAGTTTTATAGATTTATAGTTATGTTTTACCCTCCTTGTGCTGTTATCAGGGGTGCTCTGGGTTTGGGACATTTCGGAGGGTCGGCTCCTTATCATGGCAACAGCTGACCCCCAGTCAAGATTTAAGGGAGTGATCTCCACCACTTGTACAGCGAAGGAGTCGAAGTTCTCCTTGAGAACTTTGGGAGGGGCTAAAGGGTTAAGAGGCAAAACGTCCATTGTGTGGGTGAGCACATGGTGGGAAAGACCCTCTGCTCCTGGCGCCATAATATTTTCTCCATTCAGTCTTCTGTTGTGTTTTTGACGAGGTTTTAATAAAACTTTCTAAATTTTTGGAAGTGAGCCGCATTTCTCACATATCTATCTATCTATCTATCTATCTATCTATCTATCTATCTATATTAATCTATGTATCTGTCTATCTATCTATAGCTATGTAACAAGATGAAAGAAACAAGCACAGCAACATCAGCAGCAAGCCCACACCCTGCTAAGAGACTGTCAAAACAATGCAGCTTCCCCTTCCTCCCCCCATAAACATTCCAGAAGGATGCTAAGGCAATCAGCCACCTATTTCCTCTCTTGACTGCTGTCTATTCGTCATTTCCCTGGCAACAAATAGGAAGAAAATTCCCTGAGAAAGGAAAAAATACCTATCCCCCCCAACACTCCTAAGTCATGCCAGGGCTTGGTATAAGCAAAGGGTGATGGGAGTTGTTATATTTTAAGTCATGAAGGGCATTTGTAAGGTGTTTGTCACCCAAGGTATAGTGGTTTGGCAGGATGTGAAAAGCACATCATTGTCCGGCTGGCTTCACTCTGAGCACGTAGCTCTCCAGCCTGAGTTGTGTACTTTGCAAAACAGCTTTTGCTAGCAGCAGTGCTCCTTGCAAATGCCATTAGTTTTGCTTGGAAGGTAGGTGTGAGAACCCCGGGCTTGGTCTGGGGTCTTGTGTGGTGGTAAAAGTCTCTCCTCCAACCCATGCTTCCAAAGAAAAACTCCGCAGCCTCTTGTTGTTCGGTCTCAAGGCAGTTTATTGCAAATTATCTAAAAGATTGTCTTCTCGGGCTGCAGCAGCTTGGTCAGCAGCCCAGGCAGAGGCACACACACACCCTGACATCCTCTCTATCTGCTGTCTTCTTCTTCTCTCCCCCCACCCAGGGCTGCTGCTATCTTTTATATGATACATTATGGATTACATGTTTACAGTTTTTCCCCAATACCCACTACCTATATTACCGAGTGGTTTTCTACTCTAAACCAGTCTGTGAGTGCCAACATCACTAAGAACATGGAGGTAAGGAAGAAGAAGGAGGAAGAACAGGATCAGCCCACTTTCCTCCATTTTAGAATTTCTGACCTTCATGTACAAAGTAAAAACCCCCCTGTACAGGTGCTAAACCCCCCTGTACAATACTAAAAAATTTTCCCCTCTACTTTGTAACTACTTTTACTATACTGTCTAATCCTTTGTGACTGTTTGTTCCACCTTCAAAGTTGATAACTAATTCCATGGCGCAAACTCAAAATCACAGCTGTTTCCAGCTGCCTGCCGGGGTCTAAAATGCTTCTGACCAAGGCCTGGAACCTCTAAAAATGTCTGAGAGACATTTTTGAGTTCCAACAAGTAGGTATCAGCATAGTTAGGGGTACCATTACATGAAATTAAACAGCAGTTCTCCTGATTAAGGAGAATGAAGTTCATTGCTCATTATGGCTGCAGTATGAACTGAAATCATTGGAGAGAAATGTAGGTAGTTTGTTTTCCTCAGCATAATGCCATATATAATGCTTTATAACTGACGGTGAGGACAGAGTGTGAGGAAGGGGATGTGTGATAGGAAATGCCAAGATTCTGACTGTTGTTATATGTCATTGGGGGTTTTCACTGTTTTTCCCTTTGGTAAACTTTGCAAGATGGTGAAAAGGGAAGTGACAAAACTATGGAGTGCCTGGAATCCCCCAGGTTTGCTGTAGCTGATGAAGGATTCTGGTGTGGTCTTAATGAGATTGGATGAGTGGGTAGCACGGTGTGATTGGAATTCAGCAATCAGAAAGTTGAGGTTATGTGTGTCAGAAGAAATGGAATCCAACAATCAAAAAGTTGAGGTTATGTGTGTCAGAAGAAATTGTTTTGAAAGGAGCAAAATCATGTTTAAGAAACTGGAGCCAGAGCTTGTGAATGACAGAATTTAGCACTGTGAAGAAGGCTTCTTAAGTATGAGCTACATATTTAGTCAAGAAGAGACCTAGTGTTGAAGATACATTGTTAAAACAAAACTTAATTAAATGCTTAACACTGTTGGTTTAATGTGTCTTAATGAGAAATGTCCCATCTGGGTGTTTTCTTCCAGAAATTGGCTGCTATTTGCTGGTTTTTTGCACAAGTCCCATAACTCTGAGTGTTTGTCAGGGATTTGGTACTAGACTAGTTGTACCATCTCCCAGTCTCAAAATTTCCAAAAATGCAGTATATTTTAAATTTTTTAAATCTTACTGATTTCTCTCAATCAGATTCTAAGTGATCAGTTCATGTGACTGGCTTTTTTATTACTGTTATTTTCTGTTCCTGTCTAGTAAAACAACTCCTAATTTTTTCTTTTGTAGTACTTACCATTTGCTAGTTCTGTGCCCAGCACTGCCTTGAAATTAGACCAAAAGATGATATTGATTTCCATGAACTAGATGATGTATTTGACATAGTTCAAATGTACTGCAGTTGAGGTGTCCCAGTAGATAGAGCTGGATTTCTGCTCTACACCACACACATCATGTGAAGAGAAATCTTTGAAAGAAAGATTCCTTCAGACTTGCTGCCAAAGTGATACCATACCCCAGTTTACAGAGATGTGAAAGAAGATACTCTTCAAAATGCACAAGTGCAGCTTTACTCTGCCAGAATAGCTAAAATCTGTTCCTTCATGCACTGCTGCTTAATTTGGATAGAGTTCCTGGTACAATTAGCTTCACTTTGTTAAACTGTAGTGCAGTTAAGTATAAATTGCTCTTTCTCACCCTGAGTGTTGATAGGCTAATTCTGCTTGTCTTGTTGGTGCACTCTGCCCCAGCAAAAGCATTGTGATCCTGAATTTCCCTCCCCTGTTTGATTGTTGGCCTTGAAGCCTGTTGTGGAAATCATCATAGCACAGTAACTGGGAACCCCAGCTTTATTCTGTGTTCCCATTTGGTGGTGAAATTTTTCTTTTAACTTGTGCTTCTAAAGAAAATCTCCAGTCTTTTGTTGTTTGGTCTTGAGACGATTTATTGCTAGTTATCTAACAGATTATGTTCTCGGGCTGGGGCTGTTTGGTCAGCGGTTTGGGTAGAGGCACACACACACCCTGACATCCTCCCTGTCTGCTGCTTTCTTCTTCTCTCTCCCTGCCCAGGGCTGCTGCTATCTTTTATATGATATATTACATGTTTATAGTTTTCCCCCAATACTTACTACCTATATTACAAAGTGCTTTTCTACTCTAAATTAGTCTGTGAGTGCTAACATCACTAAGAACATGGAGGTAAGGAAGAAGAAGGAGGAAGAACAGGATCAGCCCACTTTCCTCCATTTTAGAACTTCTGACCTCCATGTACAAAGTAAAAACCCCCCTGTACATGTGCTAAAACTCCCCTGTATAATACTAAAAATATTTTCCCTTTACTTTGTAATTACTTTTAGTATATTATCTAAGCCTTTGTGACTGCTTGTTCTACTTCTAAAGTTGGTAATTCATTCCATGGCTCAAACTCAAAATCACAGCTGTTTTTCAGCTGCTTGCTAGGGTCCAAAATGTTTCTGACCAAGGCTTGGAACCTCAAAAAATGTCTGAGACACATTTTGAGTTCCCACAAGTAACCATGTTTTTGTAGAGATGGTAAAAAACATACATTATCTGTGTGGACAGGCAGCCTTTGCTTATATTTTGAGTAATCCTGGATAAGAGAGGAGAAAATATTATGATTGTATTAACCCTAGAAAGCCAAGATGATGGAATTCCCTTCAGTCATAGCAGCAACTCTGCAGTGTAGCATGTGCAGTTTAACAAGTGTAATCTTCATCTCCTGGCCTTTGTCTGGACAAGGCTCATGGGAGCATATCTTTGCTTCTATTTTTGTTGCTTCCTTTGAATGCAAGAGTCTTCTTTGACAAAGGTAGTTTAGATGCAGGGGCATAGATTGTTTGGTTGAAAATATTGTCAATCATTCAGCAGTCCTGTTCTTCCTTTTCAGATTCCTCCCAGCATGACTCATCAGAAGCAAGTGAAGATTCTGAGGCTGAAATCACTAGTCAAGGTCAGTTGCACAGGTCATTGATTTTGATTTTTTGGCATTTTTCTATCCAAGATGTGTTTTTAAAAGGCTGCAATACTTGGCACTGAATGAAGAGAATTTTGTGCCGGTGGTAACTATGAGATCCAAACCTTTGCAGTGACCACCTCCCTTTCATATATATAAATGTCTCTTAAGCTGCTAAGCGATGTCTATGATGTACATGGTTGGATGTTGGTGGGAGGTGAGCTGTGTTTCTTGTATTTGTGAATGGGTGTCCTGTAAGTGCTTTAAAACACTGCTGAGATTGGCTTTTTCAGTGCTTGCTTGTGAAATGAGATGAGGAGCACCCAATCAGCAATTTAGAAAGTAGGCAGGGCACTGGGAGAAAGTGGACACTTCTGGCATTACTTTCACCATTTTACAATGCAGCATGGAAATAACTCCAACATGACTTCAACAGAAAAGTTTATATGAGAATTGTCATTAAGTTCTGCTTGCATGTGAGGTCATTACCCCAAAAGTAAAAGTGCTCTGCAAAGGTTTTCTGTGACAGAGTATAACAGAACTGTATAGATACAAGATTTGTCAATATGTGATATTCTTGCTATGTAAACCATACCCTTGGTGACATGGGTGCATGTTTTTCTGCATGTGAAATTAGTTTTCTTTGAGTTGGAGCTATTGTTAATTGGCAGTCTAAAAAGCTCATTACCTTAGGGAAGGTAGGGGTGGGTTTGGAAGTGACAGGCCTAGTAGCAGCTCTCTGACACATTGCTAGTTTTGCTGTTCTCCTGTCTATCCACTTGTGTGTGTTAAAGGCAGGGTTGACCAGTTTGATAAATTCTATTGTCACCCATTGGTTTTACACTGCTTTGGAAGTGGTTTTAGAACATTTGAGCTCTTCAAGACAAAACACAGGTACTGTTTTTTGAGGTTTACTATGGAATGATATTGCTTCCAGTTAGATAACAAAGGTAGTCCCTATCTGCACCATTTATTCTGTGATTCTTTTTGTTGGTGCATGGTCGTTTTCCCATCATGAGTTTCCCAGTCCTGTTTCAGAAGCCAATGTTGTTTTCCTTAGGAAGTCCAGACACAGTTTTGTTTTTTGCTGTCTTGTGCTTTGCACAGGGTCTCTTGAAGGAACAAGTTGTTCCTTCACAGGTAAGGACCGGAGCTTTCTGAAGTATTTTATTGCAAAATGTGTTGCCCTGCTAAGCAGAGTTCCTTAATTCTGTTTTAGTTTTGAAATTCGAGGCAGTTGCAGTGCTGCACATGACTTCCATGGGCAAAACACCTTTTTTGTTTTTTTAATTGTTTCTGTTAGATGATGATGATGATGATGAGTACCTGCCCTCTAGCAAGAGAAAGAGAAGGAGAACAAGGAATACCCGGTCAACTAAGGAAGTTGCCAATAACAGGAGAAGAAAAGCAAAATATGTCAAGTCTGGTAAGATGAAACGTCAAGATAATTTTATCTCCATGCTTTGTTTTAGGAAAAGTTGTCGGAAAGTTCTTGCTGCGGGAGTGAGACATGTTAGTGCAAACCTTCATTTAAGGGCCCTGGGCTCTTTGTAGGTGGATTTTAGCAGTATAATTATCACCATAGGCTCCCACTGTTCTATTTTGTTATTTGACTTGACGATGGAACTAGATGCAGAGGGTGTTGAAATCTTTTTGTTGTGTTCTTTCCTGATCCCTTCTATTGGGTTCTCTATAGAAAGGCATCCATGCACTTCAATTTAGTCTGCTTAAAGATGCTTCACCTGTTATTTTTTGTGGTCCTGTACCTCTCCTTTATTCTGTGTTTTATTTGGCTCATGGACACGTTACTCAGTCTGCTTTTAAAAGGTTCTGTGCACTCAGGAATATGTTTTCTTACTTGATATTTTTGAGGGCAACAACCTGCATTCTGATTGCAGTTAAGGAAAAGATGTGGAAATACAGTCAGAGCATTTGAGATGTGAAGCGTTTTTCAGAAGTATAAAAATATCATTGGATATTTTTTTATATAAATATTTGGAAAGATGTCACCTATTGAAATGGTACATCTTCTCCAAATATACTCTTTTCATATTTCCACCATGTTGGCTTTTCTGACTTTTGTTTTGTTTTGCTTTTAATCTCCCAAATCACACCACTCTGGGGCTTTGTATAAGCAAATTGTGATGGTAGTCTTCATTATTTTATTATTTTAAGTCATGAAGGGCATTTGTGACAAGCACCCAAGGTTTGGTGGTTTGGCAGGATGTGGAAAGCACATTGTGACATTCACATTCTCTGGACGGAGAGACATAATTCTGTCTCTCAGGAGATGCACAGAGTGAAGAGAAAACAATCTTTATTCCTGCTCCTTTGTTTTTCCCATGTGAGATGTGGTATGGAGATTGTTTACCTGCAGTGATTGCAGGGTTGGATGCTGGTGAAGGTTGTTTGGGTTCAGTGATCAATCAGATCCAGCTGTGTCTCAGGCTTTCAGCAGAGAGTCACGGGTTTGTTAGTTAGACAGGGAAGTAAGAAGGAAGTATGTATAATAGTATAGTACCTCTTTAAATAGTATATGAATGCAATATAGTATAGTTTTAATAAAGCTGTCCTTCAGCCTTCTGATCTGGAGGCAGACATCATCATTTCTTCCCTGCATCCAGGGATCGCTGCATTGTTGCTGTAGCTCATCATTGTGCCAGTGGCTTTGCTCTGAACACGTGGCTCTTCAGCCTGAGTTGTGTGCTTTGCAAGGCAGGTTTTGCTGGCAGCAATGTTCTTCCTTCAAATGCCATTAGTTTTTCTTGGAAGGTAGGTATCACCATAGTTAAGGGTACCATTCCTTAAAATCATCAGCGATTCTGTAGGTTACGGAGAATGATGTTTTGACAGAGTTTCTGTTACAAGTACTTTGTTTAACTGTAGTGCAGTTAAGTATAAATTGCTCTTTTTCACACTGAGAGTTGATTGGCTAATCCTACTTATCTTGGTGATGCTTGCTGCCCCAACAAAAGCATTGTGATCATGAATTTCCCACCCCTTTTTGATTGTTGGCCTTGCAGCCTCTTGTGGAAGTCATCATAGCACAGTAGCCATGAATTTGTAGAGATGGTAAAATCATACATTATTTGTGGAGAAAGACAGCCTTCGTTTATATTTTCAGTAATACTGGGTTACAGAGGGAGGGTGTCTTATAATTGTATTAACCCTAGAAAGCCAACACGATGGAATTCCCTTCAATATAGCCGCAACTCTGCAGTGTAGCATGTGCAGTTTAAGTGTAATCTCCATTTCCTTGCCTTTGTCCGGAATTGCTCAAAGGCTCATGGTAACGTATCTTTGCTTCTGAACTTTTGCTGGCTGTGAATGCAAGGGGTTTCTGTGACAGTGTTAATTTAGATGCCAGGGCATGGAGTGCTTGATTGGAAATCTTGTCCATGTCCATCATTGAGCAAACCTGTCTTTCTCTTTCAGATTCCTCCCGGCATGACATGTCAGAAATAAGTGAGAATCCTGAGGTTGAGGTCACTGTTGAAGGTCAGTTCCCCAGGTCATTGCTTTCAATTGGTGAGGCATTTTTCTATCCACAATGTATTTTCCACTAATTGCATAACTTAGATCTGAATGAATATAGTTATGTGCTGGTGTTGACTGTGTTTTGGATTATGCACTGCTTGGTAAATGAACCTGGTAGAGACATATTAGGAAACCACAATATAGTGATGCATATTGGATTTGTTGGGCTGATTTTAAAATGATGCCTGACAGCAATTTGTATCTTCTGCATAATTTTAAAGTGTTTTCAGTGTAAAATAGTCATTGAACCAAGAAGATGTTGTAATATTCCATCCTTCATGAGAACACATTGCTTTATAAACACGCTGTAGTTTTATGTAACATTTGTAGCTAACAAATGCTTCTGGGCAGAATGGTACCACAACAGAAAGGCAAAGTTGAAGGTGGCAATTGGAGCCTCAAGGTGTCTGTCTAATATTGGTAACTCTGAGACCCAAACCTTTGCACTGACCAGCTAGCTCCCTTTGTCATTGAAATGGCTCTAAAGCTGCAAAACAGTGTCCCTGCTGTTCTCCTGCCTGTCCACTTGTGTGTGTTTAAGGCAGAGTTGACCAGTTTGATGTAGTTCTTTAGTACCCGTTGGCTTTACACTGGTTTGAAAATGGGTTTAGAAAATCTGAGTCCTTCAAGATAAAACATAGGTACTGTCTTTTTAGATCTACAATGGAATGATATTGCTTCCAGTTAGATAACAAAGGTAGTCCCTATCTGCACCATTTATTCTGTGATTCCTTTTGCTGGTGTGTGGTCATTTTCCCATCATGTGATGCCCAGTCCTGTTTCAGAAGCCAATGTTTTCCTTAGGAAGTCCAGAAGCAGTTTTGTTTTTTGCTTTCTTGTGCTTTGCTCAGGCCCTTTTGAAGGAACAAGTTGTTCCTTCACAGGTAAGATCAGGCGCTTTATGGAGTTATTTATGTAAGTAATTTATTGCAAAATGTGTTGCCCTGCTAAGCAGAGTTCCTTAATTCTGTTTTAGTTTTGAAATTCAAGGCAGTTCCAGTGCTGCACTCGAATTTCTTGGATAAAAAAAAGGATTTTTTTTTTAATTGTTTCTTAAAGCTGATGAGGATTACTACATGCCCTCTGACAAGAGACAGAGGACCACCGATTCGGCAAATGACAATGCTAGTGCTGAGAGAAGAAATGCAGAAGAGTTCAATTGCGGTAAGATCGAAATTCTACAATATTTTATCTCCTTCCTTTGTTTTTTGAAAGTGTTTTGGGTTATTTTGTGCTGCAGGAGTGAGACAAGTTATTGCAAGCATTCATTTAAGAGTCCTGAGCTCTTTTTAGTTGAATTGCAGCAGTACAATTGTCATCATAGGCTACCTCTGCAGCCTGTTGTGGAACTCTTGATGTCATGTCAACCATGAGTATGTAACGATGGTAAAAAAAAACTCTTAATCCTTGGGTACAGGCAGCCTTTATTTATGTTTTTAGTAATCCTGGGTAAGAGAGGGGAAAATACTTATGATTGTATTAATTCTACAAAGACACCAAGATGGAATTCTCTTCAGTCATCACAGCAACTCTACAGTATAGCATGTGCACTTTAGCAAGTGTAATCTTAATCTCTTTGTCTGGAATTGCTCAAAGGCTAATAGTAGCATATCTTTGCTTCTATTTCTCTTGCATGCTGTGCGTGCAGCAGGCTTTCTTGAGAGTCTTGGTTTAGATGCAGGTGCATGGAGTGTTTGGTTGCAAATCTTATCCATGTCCATCATTGTGCAGTCCTGTCTATTTTCTTTCAGATACCTCCCGGCATGACATGTTAGAAATAAGTGAGAATCCTGAGGTTGAGGTCACTGTCGAAGGTCAGTTCCCCATGTCACTGATTTTAGTTGGTCGGGCATTTTTCTATCTGAATTCTGTTTTCCAAAGCCTGCAATACTTGGCAATGAATGAAGAAAATGTGTGCTGGTGTTAAGTGTAGTTTGGATTGTGCACTGCTTGGTAAACAAAGCTGGTTGAGATGTATTAGGAAACTGCAATATACTGAAGCATATTGGGCTTGGTGGCCTGGTTTTGAAATGGTGCCTGAGACTTTTGCATAGTTTTCAAGTGCTGTTAATGTAAAATATTTATTGAACCCAGAGGATAGTGTAGTATTTCTTCATTCTGGAGAACACATTGCTTTATAAACACCTGTAGTTATATGTATCATTTGTAGTTGTTAACAAATGCTTCTGGGCAGAATGGTACCACGACAGAAAGGCAGAGTTGCAGGTGGCAATTGGAGCCTCAAGGTGTCTGTCTAATATTGGTAACTCTGAGACCCAATCCTTTGCACTGACCAGGTCCCTTTGTCATTGAAATGGCTCTAAAGCTGCAGAGCAGTGTCCCTGCTGTCCTCATGCTAGGATGTTGGTAGGAGGTGAGCTGTGTTTCTTGTATTTGTGAATGGGTGTCCTGTAAGTGCTTTAAAACACTGCTGAGATTGGCTTTTTCAGTGCTTGCTTGTGGAATTCGATTAGGAACAGCCAATCAGCAATTTCAAAAGTAGACAGGGCATATTGGACAGGGTGGGCACTTTTTGCTTTACATTCACCATATTAGAATGCAACATGGAAATAACTCCAATTTTACCTCAACAGTATAATTTATATTAGATGAGTCATTAAGTTTTGTTTTCATGTGAAGGCCTTCACCCCAAAAGTAAAAGTGCTCTGTGAAGGTTTTCTGTGACAGAGTACAAGAGAATTGTATTGGTACAAGATTTGTCAATATGTGATATTATTCTTGCTAAGCAAACTATATCCTTGGTAACGTGGGTACATGTTTTTCTGCATGTGAAATTAGTTTTCTTTGCTCTAACCATTTGTTCTGTTTGAGTTGGAGGTATTGTTAATTGGGCAGTCTAAAAAGCTCATTAGCTCAAGGAAGATCAAGGTGGGTTTGGAAGTGACAGGCTGAGTAGCATCTCTCTGACACATTGCTAGTTTTTCTGTTCTCCTGTCTATCCACTTGTGTGTGTTTAAGGCAGAGTTGACCAGTTTGATTAATTCCGTTGTCACCCATTGGTTTTACATTGGGCTTAGAACATTTGAGCTCTTAAAGAAAAAGCATAGTTTCTTTTTTTGAGATCTACTATGGAGTGATATTACTTCCAGTTAGATAACAAAGGTAGTCCCTATCTGCACAATTTATTCTGTGATTCCTTTTGCTGGTGCATGGTCGTTTTCCCATCATGCGATGCCCAGTCCTGTTTCAGAAGCCAATGTTGTTTTCCTTAGGAAGTCCAGAAGCAGTTTTGTTTTTTGCTTTCTTGTGCTTTGCTCAGGCCCTTTTGAAGGAACAAGTTGTTCCTTCACAGGTAAGATTAGGAGTTTTCTGAAATTAGTCATGTAAGTAATTTTTAGCAAAATTCGTTGCCCTCATAAGCACAATTCCTTATTTCTGTTTTAGTTTCAAAATTCAAGGCGGTTCCTGTTCTGCATGCAAGTTCCATGGACAAAAAAACAGGGGGTTTTTTATTGTTTCTTAAAGATGATGATGATAACTACCTACCACCTGACAAGCGACTGAAGAGCAACAATTTGGCAAATGAATCTGCAGATATTGAGAGTAGAAAAGAAGAGGAATTCATCTCTGGTACAATAAAATTTCTAGATAATTTTATCTCTTTTTTTTGTTTTATGAAAATGTTTAAGGTAATTTTCTGCTGCATGAGTGAGACAAGATATTGCAAACCTTCATTTAAGAGCCCTGGGTTCTTTGTAGGGGAATTGCTGCCATATAATAATCATCATAGGCTACCACTGTTGTATTTTCTTATTGGACATGATGACTTAGATAGATGCACCACAAATTGGGATTTTCTGTTTGTGTTCTTTCATCATTTCTTCTGTTGGGTTCTCCATATAAATGTATCCATGCTCTTCAGTTTAGGCTGGTTAAAGATGCTTTACCTGGTATTTTTTGTGATTCTGCACCTCTCTTTTATTCTGTGGTTTGCTTTGGTATGATTTGGCTTATCTGTCTGCTTTTATAATGTTCTGTGCAGTCAGGAATATGTTTTTTAGTTGATATTTTTAAAGACAGCTACTAGAGTTCTGATGGCAATGGAGAAGCAGGTGTGGAAATACAGTTACAGCATTTGAGATGTGAAGTGTTCTTTGTGAGGATAAATTAACACACTTGGATATTTTTTCACAGAAATATGTTTAAATATGTAGCCTAATTGAAATTTCACATCCTCTCCAGCCTTTGTCTTTTCATATTTCCCCCAGGCCAGCTTTTTTGATATTTGGGGTTTTTTTTGCTTTTAATCTCCCAAATCTCACCATTCTGTGTAGTTACACAGTTTATGGTAATTGGGAGTGGGGCTGCAGCCAAGCCTCAACCCCAGTGGGCTGCAGCTTTTAAAAGCAGGTGAGCAGTATTGAAAGCACTGAGGGAAGGAGTGCCAAGGTGTACCAGTCATAAAAGGATACAGATGGCACACGGGTGTAATGCATGTGAGATAAAAAGGTATAAAACGTATTGTGGAACAAGAAAGGACTGATGCTTAAAGCCTTGTGGAATTGTATGGTGTTACTCTGTGTGTTACGGCCATCTCGATTCCGACATCTGGTGACCCCAACGTGATAGTGAGGTGCTTCAGACAGACAAATGTGGACCTAACAGAAAAGTAGCTGGATTAAGAGCGTAAAAATCCGAAGGAGTTATAGCCAGGCAGACCTGGCTCTTCCAGAAGTTGGTCTCAAGGCTACAGCCAGTAATGCAGATTTGCACAAGTGATTGTTTCCATCAAAGAAAACCTATAGATTTGGTTTATTTTGTTATATGTCCCTGGGGGTTTTCACTGTTTTTCCCCTCTGGTAACCTTGGCAAGATGGTGAAAAGGGAAGTGACAAAACTATGGAGTGCCTGGAATCCCCGAGGTTTGCTGTAGCTGATGAAGGATTCTGGTGTGGTCTTAATGAGATTGGATGAGTGGGTAGCACGGCGTGATTGGAATTCAACAATCAGAAAGTTGAGGTTATGTGTGTCAGAAGAAATTGTTTTGAAAGGAGCAAAATCATGTTTGAGAAACTGTAGCCAGAGCTTGTGAATGACAGACTTTAGAACTGTGAAGAAGGCTTTTTAGATAGGAGCTGTGTGTGTTTACTCAAGATTAGAGGAGAACTAATGATGATGATATGTTGTTAAACAATATTACCTCAGTGCTTAACGCTGTTGGTTTAATGTGTCTTAATGAGAAATGTCCCATCTGGGAGTTTTCTTCCAGAACTTGGCTGCTATCTGCTAGGAGTTTTTTGCACAAGTCTCTTAACTGTGAGTGTTTGTCAGGGATTTGTTGCTAGACTAGATAGAACATCTTCCAGTGTCATGGCTATTCTTAGATGTTGAAAAAAAGCGGTATATTTTAAATTGCTATAATCTTATTTAATTCTTTCAAAATTTTTCTAAACGATCAGTTGATGTGACCGGCTTTTTTATGACTGTATTTTCTGTTCATGTCTAGTAAAACAACTCCTAATTCTTTCTTTTGTACTTACCATTTGCTAGTTTTGTGTCCAGCACTGCCTTGAAATTAGACCAAAAGATGATATTGATTTCCATGAACTGGATGATGTATTTGACATAGTTCAAATGTACTGCAGTTGAGGTGTCCCAGTAGATAGAGCTGGATTTCTGCTCTACACCTCACACATCATGTGAAGAGAAATCTTTGAAAGAAAGATTCCTTCAGGCTTGCTCCCAAAGTGATACCATACTCCAGCTTACAGCGATGTGAAAGAAGATACTCTTTGAAATGCACAAGTGCAGCTTTACTCTGCCAGAATAGCTAAAATCTGTTCCTTCATGCACTGCTGCTTAATTTGGATAGAGTTCCTGGTACAATTAGCTTCCCTTTGTTAAACTGTAGTGCAGTTAAGTATAAATTGCTCTTTCTCACCCTGAGTGTTGATAGGCTAATCCTGCTTGTCTTGTTGGTGCACTCTGCCCCAACAAAAGCATT